TGATTTTCACTTATTCTGTTTACACAGATGACACCATGAAACACTCAAAAGAGTGCAGGGCCTTTAGCCTGTGAGGCTGGGTTTCCCATCAGCTTTATCTAACAACTAGAAGTGCTTTCTTTCAAGTTACACAGTCTTTCCAAGCCTCAATTTCCTTCTGGCTATGCCACTACTGTTTGGCATAACTGTTTTCAAAAGTGTCTTTTAGTTACTTCTCTTTAGTGACCCTTAGGCCCCTAGCTCATCTAAATCTGATCCAGCTAACACTGGTTAATTGTTTTAAAGCTTTCTTCCCCATTGTCCTAACCCTCCTAACTCCATTATCTCTACCTCCATCTTTAAGCTTTGAAATCATATGCTCTGATTCTGGAGGCCAGAATGAGGGTTTCTGTCTTCAGTCTCTCACTGACAGGAACCCAGGAAATGGGGCATCTTGAGAAGGTCTCTCTGGTGTTTATGGAGGGCCAGTTGTGTGTGCAGGGTCCACACCTGGCACTTGGAGCCACTTACAGCCTGCTCCTACCCTTTAGTGGCAGACCAGCTGCTAGGAGAGGCAAGACTTGCAAGCAGCTAAGGAGGCATACCACTAGGAGGCCCCAGGGTTCAGTTATTATTACAGCTCAACCTTTTGATGTCTCAGTCTTTTCTTTCCAGGAGCACCTACCTGGCAGAGTTTCTTCAAGGCGTAGATAACATGTAGAATTACATAAGATCCACTTTGGATTTTTTTTTTTAAGATTTATTTATTTATGCATACAAGAACCAGGGTGTAAGCCAGAGGTGCGGGGGATGGGGTAGGGTGGGGTGAGAGGATTCACCAGAGAGAGTAGGGAGCAGAACAGGCAGATCTACTGAACTACACTGCTGAGGGGAGCAGTGTGTGAGACAGGAGATGTCTGCTGTGCCATGTGGGTAGCTCCCTGGTCGGCTGGGGATCAAACTTGTGCTGTAGTGGCTGGCGATAACTTGATAGCGCTGTCTTTAACCCCTGTGCCACCAGGGAGGCCCTACTTTGAATCTTGGGCTGTGCTTTGGAATTGCCTGTGGAGCTTTAAAATCCGCTGATGCCTGAGCCCTACCCCCCAGACATATTGGTGCAATTGGTCTTGGGTGTGACTTTGGACTCAGGACCCTAAGGCTTCCAGGTATTTGGTTACATTGTGTCGTCAAAGCTGAGGTCCAGTGATGTCAAGCAATTCCTGATAGTTCGTAGATACTCAGTGATTGGTAGATAAGACTATGGGTGTGTAGTGCATGCGAAAATTTTAGGTAATTTGGAGAGATTCCTGGGGACATTTCAGGAAGGTAATGACATTTTACATAGTTTTAAAAGGATCGTGATTACAGTGAGAGTAGAAAGGGCTGGAAGTTGGGAAGCCTGATCCATTGCTGTGAACCATTGTTCAAATATCTCAGTATTATGTAAGTCTGTGGGTTTGTGTTTCTCCCAGAGCTGAAGGGCCCAACCTTCCGCTGGATGTGCCTGGGTATGTAACCTGTACTCAATGTCTATTGCTCTGTAACAGGCTAGCCCCAATCTTATTGTCTTAAAATGACATTTCTGTTTCTGTGGGGCAGAAATACAAATGCGTGCGGTACAGAGGGAACGACTTGTCTCAGCTCCTATATGATCTGGGGTCTCAGGGAAGGTTAGAAGTCTGGGGGTTGGAGTGTCTGTGGTTGGTGTTGGCTGAAGACCTACCTGGACCATCAGCTCGAGCACCCATAACCTGGGCTTTCTCCCACCTTGGTGGTGGGGATCCCAGGGTGTGCATCCTGAGAGAGACAGGCAGCCAGGCAGAAGCCAAATCTTTTTATGAATCTAGTCTTAGAAGATTCCTAGAATAAATTCCAGATGAAACGAGCTAGAATTGGAAATAAGCACATATAGAAAAGATGAATCAGATTCCATCATAAGAAGAGACAATTGTACAAGAATTTGTAGCACACACTTAGAAACCATATATCACTTAACAGTCTAATTCCTACTATCCTGTCATGATTAGAACCTGTGTTTAGGCTCCAAAGATTTGATTTCAAATCCCACTGTGCTGCCTTTTCCTAGCGGCATGGGTGAATCATTTATCCTAACACCCTCTCTTTTCTTCTGGCAAAAGGAAACCAAATGAAGGACATGCTTGTGCATGTGTTTTGCTACTTACATGTTAACTTGCATGTTATTCTTTCATTTCCTTCTGATTTCACTAGCCTTCTTTGAATTGAGGATGAATAGCGAGGGCAAAAATAAAGAATGACATGTGAAACCAGAAGATTGAGGTAGTAAGGAAAAATGAGCATGAAAACTGACAGGCTTCTCTTTAACTCTGTAACTTCTTTTTAGTGAAATCATAACCATGCTTTTTTGTAGGAAACAGTTACTACTGATATTACTGAAAATTATTTTCAGTTTTTGGAGAAAGCTATTGGAAGATATGGAAGTCTTCAAAACTATGCACATGAGTATTTTATGTATGTAATAGATATATGATAGAAGAGAGAGTAGAGAGAGAAGAAATGAGAGAATGGGAGGTGAGACAGAGGAGTGAGAGGGAAGATAAGAGGGGAAGAGGAAAATAAAGGAGGGAGGTTAGGGAGGGGTGGGGAGATGCTATATCTATATTGTAGGGTAAAGAAAATGTCAGGCTTTTCTGCCCTCCCGCCATCAGGATAGATGATGGATCCTTGTCCTGAATGCATGCCTGATGGCGGGCACCTGGAATAGGGTGTGGGCATAGGTAGATGGGATTCACCTGGGCTAAGACTGTGCTTTTTTTTAAGGGCGGCGTCACGGGGACGCCAGGAGCAGCAGTAGAAGCCGAAGCAGAAGCCGAAAGAGAAGCCGAGAAGCAGCAGAACGAACGCTAGAGAGCCCAGATAGAGTGAAGACTTGCTGGGGGCTGGGAGGCCTGCCAGCCTCCCAGCCCCCCAGCCAGCACCCCTGCCTGCCATATGCCTGGTGAACCCCAAATAAAAGACCTGCAAAACCACTGAGAACTCTGACTCCTCCTTCACCCGGTCTGCATGGGATCAGAAAACCTGCTCAGTGGTCCATTCCTGACTTTACATATATCTATATCTATATCGATGTAGAGATGAGCTGAAATGATACCCTCCAAACAAAAGTGGTTATTTCAGGAGAGGGGCATGAAATGAGAGGGGCATGAAGACTTTGAGTTTATTCCTTAAATTGATGAATTCCAGCATTTAAGGTTTATAAAACTAATGAACATATATAATTGCATAACCCCTATATTTATAAAACTCAAGATACGTCTCTGAAGATACCTTTGTAGTATGCAGTACGGGGTAGGGAGAAGGTAGAGAGTGGTTGTCTCTGAAAAATCAGCTGTTTCCTATCATTTTACAATTGGTTCTGTAGGTGATTTTATCTTTGAGTTCTGGGATCCTTGAGCCTGCGGGAGTGGAGAAGCAGCCAGACCAGTCAGGTGGGGATGTGGCAAGAAGCAGCGGGGAGTGAGACCCAGAGCCCAAGGAAGGGTAGGGGAGGTTGGGGTCAGGTAAGATCACTGCTGGGGAGGGTTAATTAAGCATGAGCCTTGAGGGGCCAAGGAGAAGCGGTGGCAATGTGTGGGGGCAGGAAGACCACTGAGCAGGCTTTCTGATCCAGCAGACCTGGTAAAGGAGGAGTCAGAGTCTTCAGTGGCTTTTGCAGGTCTTTTATTTAGATTTACCAGGCACATGGCAGGCTGGGGTGCTGGGGGGCCGGGAGGCTGGCAGGCCTCCCAGCCCCCAGCAAAATCCTCACTCTATCTGGGCTCTCTCTGGCGTTCTCTCTGCTTCTCTTCTTCTCTCGGCTTCCCCGTGACTCCAACCTTATAAACTCAGTCTCTCAGCCCAGGTGTACCCACTTCAGGTGCCCGCCATCAGGCATGCATTCAGGACCACAGGGTTCCCTCATCTATCCTAATGGCGGGAGGGCAGAAAAACCTGATACTTTTTCCTTACCCTACACGATGTCAGGGGGTGGGGGCCCCTTCACAAGCAGCAGAGCCATAGACAAGAGTTCTGCAAATTTTTTTTCACTAGGCAGTGACTCCATTTTGAAGTACCTTTACAAAACACTGTACATGACTTTAATAGGACAAGTGACAAATCCTTTCCCACCTGTGGGGCTTCCTTCATGGCAACCTTTGCTTGGTTTAGGCTGGCTTTAAACCAAGAAAAGAAAAGAAGTTTCTTCAGGAATTCTGAAAAGTTGCTTCAGCCAAATTCTGTGAACAAAGGGGACTTTGTGCAGGGTTATGCACATCAGCTTGGGAGGCATTTAATTCATCAGCTCGGGTCTCTGCTTTGTAAGTTCTTGCTTTAGTTAGTGTTGTGTTTCTGTCTCTGAGGGGCAGGCAGGGCTTCTGACTCACTGCTTGGGGCCTGCACCTGGTTCCAGTTACACCAATGAGTTCAGCCGTGCAGATACAGATGCTCATGGTCCTATGTGGACACCTGTGATGAATCCTGAGGAGGGAGGCATTTTATGTATTGGCTTGTCTACAGCCACATGGACGCTGTTATCATTTCTAAGATGCCCATGGACTGATTACGGTCCACCACAGTGGCTAATACACATGGTTCGGGAGCTGGGAATGATTGCACCTTTCCATTAGCTCCTGCAACGGGAGGTTCCCCAAAGTTACTGGCTTTGGGCGGTTTGGGTCCTGCCTGCATAGAGGTGAGCCCTCGAGTATACAAACCCATCCGAGACTTGTTTTCTGATGGTAGATTTATTTCCCCTGCGGGCAGCAATAACTTTAAGTCCTGAAAGATGCTATTTGAAAAAGCTGCTGTTTTGGTATGTTGAATGACGTTCTACCCACTGGAAAGACTTGTGGGAAATTTTCCAGTGCCTGGGCCATTCCAGCGCCACTTGTGAAAAGTTGTGTGCGTTATGTGTCGCCCTAATGGTGGCAACTGATGGCTTTGTGCTGCCAGTGTGATGGTGTGGCTGCTGTTTCTTCATTTGGTCTCACTGTTTCCCTTGACAGGGCAATTTGGTTTTGATGCTGTGCCAGACATCTTCCGACAATGAGTTACTGGAACTTGGAGAAGAGGAGCTGTGTGCAGTACCGCAGGCATTTTCTGGTGGACAACAGCGTGTTTCATGGTGAGCTGCCTTTTGTGTTGATGTAGTTGGGTCTTTTAGTTTGTTTCTGACAGCACTTTTATTCTAGCACTCTGGATGCAAATATGGTCTTTGTTGGGTTAAACCAAGGGTTTGGATTGATTTGTTTTTGGATAATTACTCAGTAGCCTCACTGGATTCACCCCCCACAGTGGTAAGCAACTGCCCACCTCGTAACCATGTTGGTGATTAGTGCGTGTCAGTTCTGACCCCCTTTCACTATGCTCTCAATTCCAGGAATGTCCCTTGCTGAGGTTTGAACTGTTGGGGGTGTAGGCCCACAACAGTCCGTTAATATCTGTGACTCACCAATCTGTGTTTATTACTGCAGGACCTGAACCTTCTATCAGACCACATAGAAAAACAGAACAGAAACTCAGCACTTATTACCATCAGGGTGGCCTACTGCAGCCATCCATCAGAGAGTGATCAATATTAGTCATTTTCATGGCAAACTAAGACAAATTGCCCTTGCCCTGCTGGTGTGTTGGTTTATGGAATACAGTCAGGGATAAGCTCTGTTGGTTCTGCTACCAGGATATCCTTGAGTGAAATTTATTTAAGAGTTCAAGATTTATGTGTTCCTACAATTTTTGGAGTAATCATCATCAAAAGCTGGTGCAATTTTACAAGGAAGAGAGATTTCTGAGGGAGTGGAAATCTCTTTTACAGAACCCTGTAATAGAAGCTGCCTTCAGCTTTCTAAGTTGGGTTTTTCTTTTTTTTTTTAATTTTTTTTTTAAGATTTATTTATTTTTATACAAGAGCTGGGGTACAGGCCAGAGGCGCGGGAGGGTGAGAGGATTCACCAGAGACAGAGCGGGGAGCAGAACAGGCAGACTGATGAAATACACTGCTGAGGGGAGCAGCTGGTGCGACAGGAGAGATCTGCGCACCATGTGGGATTCTCGCTGGCTGGCCGGGATCAAACCAGCGCTGCAGAGGCTGTGGACAGCTTCACAGCGCCGTGCTCAACCCGCTGCGCCAACGGGGAGGCCCCAGTTAGGTTTTTCTTACCCAATTTGGTGAATAGACTTAAAGTTTATTCTTGTTTTAAATTAAGTTTAAGACAACAGATTTAACCTTGTATACTTTATTGTATCTCTTTAGGGTCTGCAGTGTTTTTTTGTATTTGTTTTACCAACACCCTGTAGGACTTGACTAGGTAGAAGGTGATGTCATGTTACAGGTGAGGAAGAGGAAGCAGAGATAAATGCCAGGCCCAAGTGAACATAGCTAATCGTTAGCAAGGTCAGAACTAATTCCTGCCACTCACCTTCCAGACGGGCAGTCTAGGCATTGCATCGTGGAGGGTCCCCTCACATAGGGACTTGAAACCATGGCCTGACACTGCCTTTGAGGTTCTGCTTTTTTCTTCTGTGAATTTCATCTAGGGGTCTTGCTCATTGTTTTGTCTCTTGACATGTGCTCCATGGTGTTTTCTGTTACAAGTCTATTTGTATTAAAAAAGAGTAAATATGAAAAGAAACACAGGAGCTAGAAAACAGCTTTATTTTCCCAAGTTTTATTTTGAGCTAGTCTTTTTTCCCTTTATTAGGTAACACAAGTTTACACACTGTATATAATTTAGGGGAAAAGGGTCACACAATCAAAGATGTATGTTACCACCCCACTCCCACCATCAAAGCACCCACAGTCCTTTACCATAGGCCATTGGGCCCCCTCCCCACCTTGTCCCCTGTCTCCCCCTTCCTTCTTCCTCTAGTAGCCTCAGTTCCACAATCATACTTAAGAGTTTGTTAAGTTTAGTTTTGTTACTTCCTTTTAAAAATCTTCTCTATATTTCACATTTGAGGTGGATATAGAAATCAGCTGGTATTTGTCTTTCTTCTGGCTTAAATAATTCTCTCCAGTTCTATCCATGTTGTCACAAATGGCAAGAGCTCATTTTTTTTTTTTTTAACAGCTGAGTATTCCATTGTGTGTGTATATATATATATATACCACATCTTTTTTTTTTTTAAGATTTATTTATTTATGCATAAAAGAACTGGGGTACAGACCAGAGGTGTGGGGGTGAGAGGATTCACTAGAGACAGAGTGGGGAACAGAACAGGCAGACTGAATGAAATACACTGCTGAGGGGAGCAGCAGGCGAGACAGGAGAGGTCTGCTGTGCCATGTGTGTCACCTCCCTGGCTGGGGATCGAACTTGTGCTTCAGTGGCTACAGATAGCTTCATAGGTTGTGTCTTAACCCCTTGTGCCACCAGGGAGCCCTCTTTATATGCCACATCTTCTTCTTCTTCCTTTTTTTTTTTAAAGATTTATTTATTTATTTATACAAGCACTGGGTACAGTCAGAAGTGCTTGGAGGGCGAGAGAATCCACCAGAGTCAGAGCGGAGAGCAGAGCAGGCAGACTGATGAAGTACACTGCTGAGGGGAGCAGCGGGCGGCAGGAGAGGTCTGCGCGCCATGTGGGATCCTTACCCAGTGGCCGGGGATCAAACCGGCGCTGCAGAGGCTGCGGGCAGCTTTGCAACCCAGCGCTCAACCGCTACGCCACTGGGGAGGCCCCTATATACCACATCTTCTTAATCCACTGGTCTGTCAATGGGCCTTAGGTTGTTTCCATACCTTGGCTGTTAAAATATTGCTGCAGTGAGCAAAGCAGTGCTCATATCCCTTTGAACTAGCGATTTTGTATATAGGAGTGGAATTCCTGGGTCATATGGCAGATCTATTTTTAATATTTTGAGGACCATCCATATTGTTTTCTATATGAGCTGAATCAGTCTACCTTCCCACCAAGAGTGTATATGGGGGCCTCCCCTGGTGGCGCAGGGGTTGAGCGCTGGGCTGCGATGCTGCTGCCTGCAGCCTCTGCAGCACTGGTTCGATCCCCGGCCACCGACCAGGGTCCCACATGGCGCGACAGACCTCTCCTGCCGCCCGCTGCTCCCCTCAGCAGTGTATTTCGTCAGTCTGACTGCTCTGCTCCCTGCTCTGGCTCTGGTGAATTTTCTCACCCTCCCGCGCTTCTGACTGTACCCAGTGCTTGTATAAATAAATAAATCTTTAAAAAAAAAATAAAAAAGAGTGTATATGGGTTCCTTTTCTTTTTTGAGAATAGAAGAGGCAGTTTTATTGAGATCCGTTGCTAAGAGGAGCAGGGGATGAGACAGGAAAGGTCTTCTACAACAGGGTTCCTCTTTCTCCACATCCTCACCAATATATGTTGTTTCTGTTTTGTTTTTCTTTATTTTCTTTCTTTATGCTTTTGATTTGAGCTGTTCTCACTGGAGTGAGGTGGTATCTCATTGTTGTTTTGATTTTCATTTCCCTGATAAGTGATGTTGAACATTTTTTGCATGTGACTGTTGGCCATCTGTATTTTTTGGTTGATTTCTTTGTTTTTATGTTGCACAAGTTTTTTTGTAGTTCTTGGATACTAGCCTTTTATTAGTTGTATGATGTGCAAATATTTTCTCCCACTCAGTAGGGTGTATTTTTGTTTCAATGATAGTTTCTTTAACTGCATGGAAGCTTCTTAGCTTGACATAGTCCCAATCATTTTTGCTTTTGTTTTCCTTGGCCTTGGAGTCAAGTCCTCAAAGGACATCCCTGATGACGATGTCATGGCGTGTTTTGCCTATTTATTCTTACATGCATTTTGTGGTTTCTAGTCTTACATCTAATTTTTAAATCCATTTTGAGTTAATTTTTATGTATTGTATGAGAGAGTGATCTAGTTTCATTATTCTGCATGTGGCTGTCCAGTTTTTCCAGCACCATCAGTTGAAGAGGCTTTCCTTTCTTCATTGTATACTCTCAGTGCCTTTGTTGTAGATGAACTGTCCATATAAATGTGGGTTTATTTCTGGGTTCTCAATTCTATTCCATTGGTTTGTGTTTATGTTTTTATTTCAATACCATACTCTTTTTATTACTATAGCTTTGTAGTATAGTTTGAAATCTTGGCGCATGGTATCTCCATTCCTCTTATTGTCACGATTGCCTTAGCTATTCAGGTTTTTTTTTTTTTTTTTTATGACTCCGTATAAATTTCACTAATATTTGCTCTATTTCTTTGAAGAATTCCATTGAAATCTGATAAAGACTGTATCAAATCTGTATATTGCTTTGTGTAAGATACATGTTTTAGCAATGCTATTTCTTCCTATTCATGAGCATGAAATATCTTTCCATTTCCTTGTGTCTTCTGTTTCTTTTAGCAGTTTCTTACAATTTTCTTTCTTTCTTTTTTTAAAGATTTATTTATTTATGCATACAAGAGCTGGGGTACAGGCCAGAGATGCAGGGGTGTAAGAGGATCCACCAGAGACAGAGTGGGGAAAAGAGCAGGCAGATTGACTGAAGTACAGTGCTGAGGGGAGCAGCGGATGAGATAGGAGAGATATGCCTTGCCATGTGGGTTTCTCCCTGGCCGGCTGGGGATCGAACTCGTGCTGCAGAGGCTGTGGATGTTTAACCCCTTGTGCCTCCAGGGAGGCCCATCTTACAGTTTTCATTGACTAGGTCTTCCACCTCCTTTGTTAGGTTTATTTCTAGATATTTAATAAATTTTGGTGTCACGATAAATGTTTTCTTGATTTCTTTATCTTCTAGTTCACTATTTTCATATAGGAATGGAATAGACTTATATTATTTTGTGCCAATTTTGAAAAAGTTCAAATTCAAATGTCTTATATATTATTTTAGAATGTCCTTGTCCAGTGATATAAAAAACTATCATGTAACAATTTATTTATTTAAAAGTCAGGTTTAGGGCCGCCCTGTTGGCACAGGGAGTTGAGATGCAGCCTATGGAGCTGTCTGCAGCCTCTGCAGCATGAGTTTTATCCCCGGCCCGCCAGGGAGCAACCCACATGGCGTAGCAGACCTCTCCTGACTCGCCCACTGCTCCCCTCAGCAGTGTATTTCAGTCAGTCTGCCTGTTCTGTTCCTCACTCTGTCTCTGGTGAGTCCTCTCACCCCCCGCCCACGTCTCTGGCTCTTA